TTACAAAAAAGTACCTGGATGAATATGTATTAATTAAGATCAAAAAATCCAAAGATTAGAAAGAAATAGTTTTACTTCAGTTGAAAAAAAAAAAATTCTCACCCTGAGATATGTCAAGGATGGCTTAGACCTTATCCCCTGTCTCCCCACATTCAGTGTAATCTCCTCTCTCTTTTTTCTACTGCTGATCAGAAGAGCTTCTGTCTTGTGATCCATGAGCTGCAGTCCCACAGATACCAACCAGTTGCGGATTATGAAAAAGAGTTGGTCGGGGGGGAGGGGGAGGTGTGGTCAAATAAATACTAAATTTTTAAAAAAATAGTATTTTTAATTTGTAACTAATTAATTTTTGCTGTAGTTAATTTTTAAGGAATCAGTTGCAGATTAGTTCAATACTCAGGTTAGCTCTTATGATCACCTCTTCTTTGTACTTGGCCTCAACTACAACTGCTAAGTCGTCGGCAAAACCCACTGTTTTGGCCCCGTCTTGAAGGTTAAGTCTGTCGTCATCACTGTTTCTGTCACCAGAGTGATTGCATCTGCCGTGGATCTCACTCTTCGAAATCCAAATTGGCTGTTAGACAGGCCTCCTGCTCCTACAGTGATCACTTGTATCCTTTTTCCAATTATTTTCTCCAAAGCCGTACCAGCAGTATCCAAGAAGCAAATCGGTCAATAAACTGATGGGTCCAATGGTCTTCCCTTGCCCTTTGGGATCAAGACAAGTCGCTGTCTTTTCTATATACGAGGGAAGGACCCCTCATGCAAGCAGGAGGTAAAGAAATCCAAGAATATGTATGCCACATTTGGTATGCCGTCCTATCCTGATGACCTTCCCATCTTAAGGCTGGTACGAATTTCACTAAGTTCTTCAGCTGTGACTTCTGGTGCATCAAGAGGTGTTAGTGGCCATGATTGCATCAGTACCTCCTGTTCTGGAATAGTGTGGCAATGATTGTTTGGACTGCCTCAGCGCACATAGGCGATCAGTTAACACTTCTCTTAAGCTCCTTCACAACAGTTTTGTAAGGCCTTCTCCATGGGTTCTCATCCACTACCTCACAAAGTTCTATCCAGCATCGCAGTTTGCTCTTCTTGATTGCCTGGCGGAGCTCCTGTCTCATAGCTTTGTACTCCTAAAGATCTAGGAACTGGGGGCTACCTCTAGCTCGTTGATACTTCTTCCTCACCGCGTGACACTGTTTACGGCATTCAGTAATATGCTCATTCCACCAATATACCGGTGGTGCTTGTCAGTACTAGGTCTACTACTCCAACTGGGCAAAGGTTTCTAGTAAAATTTCTCCTCGCCGGTTAGCCAATTGACTACCCCACTCTGTCGCCCAGACATTGAGATCTCCTGCAATCACAATGCTGCCTTCGCCCTCTTGCTTCTTCGACTAAGCTATCCAGTAAATTTGAGAATTCCTCAATTGTGATGTGCAGTAGAGCTTAGCAGCTATACAGGTATATGCTCTTTATTCTTGCCCAGACAAACCCACTTGCAGGGACTTGTGCCATTTTCTATATAGGATGCCGTTCAAATTGTAGTCCTTTCTGTGGTATCAGATACCCAGGAATTGTCTAAATTTTTGTACTTTTCACTCAGTATGGCAACATCAATCCTTTGTACTTTAACAATCTGCCAAAGGAGATACTGTGCAGCCTCACAGTGGTTGAGATTTAAGTTATAGAATTCTTATGTGATGTGAGTTTTGGTTCTCCTTTGTTGTTTTTGCAGGGCATGTTGCAATGCTGGCATTTGCTACCACCGCAGTTGCGGGTGTTTTCACCACTATCAGAGCATAATATACAACTAGGACTCTTTGTACAGTCGCTGGCTATATGCCGCTCTTTACCACATTTGTGACAACACTTTGTTCTGTCAGGTGTCTGGCAAGATGCCTGAACTCCCAACACCTAAAGCAGAGCTGTAGTTTTTCTCGAATACGGCTGACTACAGTCCAACCCTGACTTTCCCTACAGTGGTTGCCTTCCTGACCAACAAGATCGGAAGAGCAATGACTGCAGTCTGCGTTCCAACATATGCCGAGTCGATCGATCGCACTGCATTAGCCTGGATGGTTTCTCCATCTAGTAAAGTGGTGAGAGCATCACCAATTTCTTCTTTGATTGTAAGGGCTCTGATTTCAATTAGTGACTCCTCTGTCCAGGCCCTAATTTCAGCCTCTTATCTTAGTGCACCCTCAAGAGTGCGTTTCATGTTTTTGAGTGTGCCTCCTGTCTTCTGATCTACCTGAATCAACAGATTGCCCGCTTCGTTTCCAGGCTCTTGTAAATTTTTCACCTGAATCTTTGGGGGATGGATCTTCTTGGACTTTCCGGAGTATATCCACAAAAGTACTTGATTCGGGGACTTTTACAATTAGAGCATCTGGTCTCGGAGGTTTTGGTCGTGTCCGTTTTCTTCCTTTTTTTCCTCTTCGCCACGGTTTGCCACTGCTCTTCTATGGGAGCAGTAATCCCTGCCTCTGGCCTCTGGTGTTCTCCCGACCCCATTGTTGCTTTTTGCTTTTCCTTTTGTTCTTTGTGGCTCCTTTCGAGACATCCATGTAAGGGCTCTGATTTCAATTAGTGACTCCTCTGTCCAGGCCCTAATTTCAGCCTCTTATTCTAGTGCGCCATGAGACTTTCAATGTCACTGGCTGTTGGACCTACTCCGTTGTCCTTCCTCTTGCAGGTGCCTTGTCTTTACTTTAGAAGCAGCTGCTTTTTGCTTGTCCTTCCTTCTACCATTCCTCTCCTGCGAGGCATGCTGCAAATTGGCCTGTTTCTCTTTGGATAGGTGGTTCTCTGGCTTTAGTGTCTGAGTACCCATGGTGGTCCTTTCCTTTATTTACTCCATTGCATAGTTAGGCAATTTCATTCCACTTATTGCTGAATTTTGCTTACAATATCTCTCATTTCACCATATACATTATGTCTTGGGTTGATGAAGTCTTCAAGCTTCATAATTTCCTCCATAGGATTTTTCCACTCCTCACAGAATTTCAGATTCATATCATAATATGGATATCTTCTGGGGTTTCCTTCTCCTAGTCAATTGAAATTGCATATTTAAGTTGTTCATAAGTCCTAAGGAAGATCTTTATTTAAATAAGATGTATGAAATAAAGTTATTAACAGTTCACTCTTCTAAATATTTTTGAGAGAGCAAACTGTTATTTAACTGTATTTCATATACCTGCATATTTAAGATTTGTACATGCCTGGGATATTACAGCAACGTTTTCGTAAAAATCGGCTAGCTGGAAGTGCCACTTCACATAATAGATTTTATATATTTTTACAATTTTCTCGATAACACCTTTAATGATTTTGATTAAATTCGTTATATCTGTGTAAAATTAAGAGGTTTTGTAGGTCTTATTCTCATTGATGTTCTCTATCAACGTTTAAATACTTAATTTTCAAAATTTCTTCCTCTAAAGTTCCTTAATTTTTTAAAAATTGAAATAATTAACCATTTAATGATTTGTAAACTGATATAAAAAATGATTAAATAAAGTGAATGAAGAAAATTTATTGGTAGCTAAAGGAGAAATAAGGGTTGGAAGCTATACAGCAACAGCCAAGAGTGCCCAACCCTTGCCGATCCTCTCCCTTTTCAGATACCAGATACCCCTCTATACAAGGCTTTCATACTGTTAGTTTAACTGTTATTTATCACTTATACATAACTTTCTAAAACTAAAAACTCATGAAAACCCATTTGCTTTCTACTTGAATCCATAAGGTAATATGATCACAAAATCGAGAAAAAGGTAGCCTACAAAAATATACAAAAGAGGCTGTTTGGTGGCCTCTACCTTCAACTTGTCAAAATAACGAGGTTATATAGACCAAACCTCTCAATATTTTTGTAGGCCACATTTTTTATCGATTTTGTGATCAAATTATCTCACAATTCGAGTGGAAAGCAAATGGGTATTTATGATTTTTTAGTACCTAATTTAATTAATTATTTTAATGAGAAAATGCCCTATTTCTGAGAATTTTCGTAGATAAAAAAATTGAAGGTTATGATGAGATAAAGTTATTCATGAAGTTTCAGGTGGATGTTAATAATTTTATAAAATAGGGTCTGTACCACGGATTATTACTTTACATTCTATACCTGGTCAACATAGACTATGGGTGGGAATTTGCCAAAAACTTATCACAAAACATTTTCTCTAAAAGTTAAATGCTTTAATATTAATGTGATAACAAGTCCGGTTTTGGTTGAAAAGTGGTATTAATGTACCTCATAAGTCAATAAAAAGTACTGTTAAAATAAATCGACTTCTGAACACCCCTTCAAGTAATTAGCGGTGGGGACTTTTTATTTTACATTATTAGCACTTTAGAATAATTTGGCTTATTTTGATTAAACTTTGTTTACATATTTCTAATAAGGCTACTAACATGAGGTATTCAGGTTTTTGGAAGGAATTGGTCAATTTTGATCAAACATCGTACTTAAGCTTTTAATTAAAAAAATAAATAAATAACCTTTTTCCCCTTTTAGATTTGTGCCATTAACCATTATATTTTGTATATTTTTTATTATTTTGTATTCTACTACAAATGTTGTTATAAAGGAAACCCATTCTCTTCTTTATTTTAATTATTGCCTATAGTAGAAAATTAAAATCCTTCTCTTTAAAGAGAAAGATTCAACCATGTTTGTTATTAAGTTATTTATGAATAAGGAAAATTAGGTAAACCAAAAATAAATTAAATATAAATGGAAAATTTGGAATAAAGTAAATTGAAATAGGAATTTGTTGGTCAGTTTTAATTTATTCATTCGATTATCCTCAGAAGTTGCAAAACTTGTCATCACTCTACATAATATACCCACAAACCCAATGTTCCTTATAATCTATCATTCTGGAAAGTCAGAAGAATAAAACATTATTCTTAGTCTTATTTTTCTCTTACACATTTGGTGAAAAATAAAATAGATATAACTAACAGATGTATTTGTTAATTAGGAACTGGAAAAACACTAATGGCTAGGGCTCTGGCAAATGAATGTTCTGTTGGTGATAGGAAGGTCTCCTTTTTCATGAGAAAGGGAGCTGATGTCCTTAGCAAGTGGGTTGGGGAATCAGAAAGACAGCTAAGGATATTGTTCGAAGAGGTAATGTTTGATTATGGGATACTTACACTTAACTATAAATACTTTATATTGTATCAATAATGTTTTTATTATTTTTATCCTAACTGTAGGCATTAGTTCTTATCAATTCTTTTCTCTATTTGTATTGATATTTACAATTGTTCTTTATTTCACTTTCTTATTCTGCCTGTCAGTATGTAGCTCAATCTAAATCTAGCTTATCCATTAATATAGGAACAAGATGGCTCATGGCCATTTATTTTCTTAACTACTCCTGGAAAATTTCCTGGATTTCCTAATCTACTCTCAAGCTTTGCTTGGTATGTCCTTTTCCTGATTTGCCATGTTCGAGGATTGTCTGAAAAGTTTCTCCTCTCCACAGAAAGTTGCAGTAATCTTCGATAAAAGTTAGGGTATGTATTTGCTCAAGGTTTGAACTTGAATCTCTAAAGTTCATCCATTTTGGATGCCCAGTTGTATTTTGAGTGTTAAAAAACGAATAAGTTGATGGATGTTTTGTAAACATATGAATAATTGTGTATCAAGCAGTCATGAAATATTTTTTTCGGAAAGACAATACTCCTATGCAAATTAAAGATGTGTTGAACACTGTGTATGAGAACTCTGTACCTTGATATAGGACTATATCAGTGAAATATAGGACTGCTAAATTTAAATATGGTAGTATCAGTTAGGATGATGATGGATGAATGTTTGGGATGGCCAAGAACTGCTACCACTGACTTTAACATTATTTAGGCAAACCAAATGGTTCCCGGCAACTATCAAATTAAAAATTGGAAGATAATGGAGACTTTGACATGTCTAAAGAATGTTTTTCTCACAAAAAAAAAATATTTGTCATGAGTAAGTTGATCATGAAATGTAAATGAAAAAATAATTTTATTCTGGGTCTACAGACCCCTAAGAATAATAAAAAGAGTTCTATAATTATGAGCATTATTCTGGCTTAGAGTATACAAAAATGTAGTATACTTTATTGAAAAGATGTTTCCAATACGAGTTTTGCACCAATGAATTATGGTTGCTCAAACAGATACACTATTATACTCGACGGTCAAAAGTGGAGTATCAAGGAGAGAATTGGATCTGTCCTTCAGCAGTAAAAGTAAAGGTGACTGTTTTATTTGATAGTCATGGAGCTATCTTAATATAAGGAAAGCATAAAGATTGTGCTAAGAACATTTATTCTATTCTATTTATATTCATTTTCTACTATTTTAGTGATTTTTATACCATTTTTTTTATGAAAGTCCACCTTTATTGAATGCATAAGTCTTTGATGCATAGTTTGTACAGATGTATTGTTTGGTAAAATAATACGAGTAATGTTTATTTTAAATTGTCAACTACAGGATGAACTAGACAATTATGGAATAGGTATTTCTTCTTGGACATTGTTGTAGTGGTAAGGGCTGTGTCTATCAGTTGTTATCTATCAGGTATAGTGAACTGGAAGTTGATGTAAATACTGCTCCCAGTAGTTCTAAGAATTTGCATATTATTCAAACTGTACAGTCTTAGGAAACGTTTACTGAACTCTTAGTGGAGTAATATCTTGTCAGTCATTTTATATAGAGAAAACATTTAGCATGATTTATTAGATTAAATTGGCAGATTAAGTGAATAGTCTCACGAGTGAAATGAGGACACCGAATTTCAAACTATACATGATATTTTTAAAAACAGAGAGAAAGATAATTGAACAATTAAAACATTGCCATAAAGTTTAAAAAGTAGGAGACTTTCGAATGTCAGTTAATACGAGTGAACAACATATCCATTGTTAGTCTTATCCATTAGGCCAAAGTGAATGAATGAGCTCATTTTTCTTTCTTCTTTTTTTTAAAAAAAGGCAATTTCACCTGAAGTATCTGACGGACACAAAGATTTTGTGCTCTTAATGATGTAGTCTTAGGAAAAATCTCACCTGAGTCCACCAGAGGCACCAAGTTCCAAATAAAGACTACCTGCGCTTGTTACAGGAAAGTTAGAAATGTCTCACTGTTTGAAGAGTTTAAAAACACTTTCAGTGATTAATAAGCTTAAAACTTAAGCAGGGAAGTGCCATTTTCAATAATGATTCCCAACCGGAGGGATCAATCTCTGGACTTGTGGGAGGATGAAATACTAACGGAGGGATCAATCTCCTGACTTAGAATATAGGAGTAAAAGCGGACAGAAGAGCATCCAGACCTTATATGGAGAGAGAAAAGGAGAAAGGTTAAAGGGGCATAGTGAAATAAAAAGCAGTTTAATATAGAAGCATAAATAGAATATACAGATCAAACTGTTGAGAAGGTCTGACATCCCGAAGGATACAGATCCGAGGACCTGACTAAAATTTTGAGGGCAGCCTTCGGTTTTCATTCCGCCATGACTAACTTGGCTAACATGAGTAGTTATAGTTACTGTTATTTAAAAGCTTTGATCAGTATACCTTATTAGATGTTTGACCGTGATTGTAATATGAGAAGGAGTTTGTCGGAGGTGGGGTCAAATAAATACTATCTATTAAAATAGTATTTTATTGTTAATGCCGATGTTTCGAACCACTTTGTAAAGCAGACCCTACACTGTAATTCATGAATGAACGTCACAAGAAGTTCCAAGATTGCCCGCGATCGCTTTGATCATGAAGACCCTTACACGTTCAATCATTACTGATCATTACGTTGCTGATACCAATTTAGCTCAGTTGTAAACAAAGAAACAGCATAGATATGCTTATTTGGACATTGTCATTTATAATATTGGGCATCAAGAGAAAAACGGAGATATAATAATTACTTCCTAGTGCCTGAAAATCGTTTAGATCAAAGTTAGTAAAATATAAGTCAACTACATACAAAAATCTAGGAAAAGTATTGTGAAAATAATCAATTTGTTAAGAAAAATGGAAAAATTAATAACAAATAAACACAACAGTTAAAGATTTTTTTTTCTATAAGTAAATTGTGAAGTTTCCACTTTTTCTCTTCAATTTATTGCCTACTTGACTACTTAAAAAAAATAGTTGAAAATGGTTAATAATAATATAGACTAGGGATATAAACAACTATTTACTTAATAACGAGACCTAGGTAAACTAACCTATCTAGTAGTAGTCTCATAGAAGGTTAGTCTCATTGAAAATCGTTTTGACAAAAGTTAGTAAAATATAAGTCTACTACTTACAAAAATTAAGGAAAGTTATTGCGAAAATAATAAATTTGTTGAGGAAAATGGGAAAAGAACTGATAAATATACACAACGATAAAGTTTTTTTTTTTCCTAAAGTAAATTGTGAAGTTTCCTCATTTTTTTTTTTAATTTGTTGCCCACTTGACTATTTAAAAGAAATAGTTGAAGATGGTTTAAAATTATAAACAAGGGATATGAAAAATTATTTAACTCTTTACATATAATGAAAATCAGAAATTTATAATGGTTGTGAAGCCTAGGTAACCTAACCTATCTAGCAGTATGGTTGGTCTCCCCAGACCATATGTTTAGTCGGTCTCCCCTCCACTTCTCATGAATGAACCTTTGATTTCCGGATGTTCGGAAATCCGCAGCACACCACCATCAGTACTTCATTCACTACCTTACACAACAATTCGGAACGTCATTAGTGCAATTCCGATTGACCGTGTAGGGTCCCCTTAAGTCTTCATCAGGGCGTGGTGTCAGGTACTGCTGGAAGCAGTTGCTAGACTCAACTTTAGTCAACTCAACTTGAGTCTACCAACTGCTTCCCCCAGTGCCAGACACCACGCGCTGATGAAGACCTAAAAAGTGGGTCGAAACATCGATGTTAACAACAAAATACTATTTTAATAGATAGTATTTATTTGACCCCATCTCCGACAAACTCCTTCTCATATTATAACCACGGTCAACCATCTCTACATCATTTTTATGATAATAAGGTATACTGATCAAAGCTTTTAAATAACAGTAACTGTAACTACTCATGCTAGCCAAGTTAATCATGGTTGAATGATAACCGCTGGCTGCCCTCAAAATTTTAATCAGGTCCTCGGATCTGTATCCTTCGGGATGTCAGACCTTCTCAACAGTTTAATCTGTATATTCTATTTATGCTTTTTGGTTCTATATCAAACTGCCTTTAGTTCACCATGCTCCTTTAACCCTTTCTCCTTTTCTCTCTCCATATAAGGTCTGGATGCTCTTCTGTCTGCTTTTACTCCTATATTGTAAGTCTGGAGATTTATCCCTCCATTAGTATTTCATTCTCCCACACATTCGGGAGATTCATCCCTCTGTTTGTGGTTTCCATCCTGGGGTGTCTTGAGTTTTATCCCGCAGTCCAAGAGTGATATGGGTGCTCATTCACCTAACACTTGAGATCATCCTGTCTTAGCCTCTTCCTTCATCCACTAAGTCATTTTACCCTAATTTGAACACGCTCTGTCGAGGCCTTCTGATCACTATACTAATTATAGAATATTGAATATTTAATAGTTGACCGTTGCATTATAAAGGAAGGAGATGGTCCGGGGTTGCGGTCATAAATAGGCTAAATAGTGGTAAAACTATTTTATTGAAAGCCAACGTTTCAACCCGACTTTGCAGGTCTTCATCAGGGAGGTGTGTTCATCTAGGTGTTTCACTTAGAACTACCTTGAGTTCTAACTGAAACTCTTTAACACCTGAGTTCTAAGTGAAACTCCTAGATGAACACACCTCCCTGATGAAGACCTGCAAAGTCGGGTCAAAACGTTGGCTTTCAATAAAATAGTTTTACCACTATTTAGCCTATTTATGACCACAACCCCGGACCATCTCCTTCCTTTTTAATTATACAATACCTCGACAAGCCTTTGTTGTGGATATTTTCAGGACAACCTATATATTTATTCCTTGTGTAAGCATTAAATAAAAAAACCATTCATACGGCTTTGAAGAGCAATAATTCAGCTTTCTAGCGTACTCCAAAATTTTAAATTTATCTAAACAACAATAAATTAATAATTTTCCTCTCAACACCATACTTA